AGTGACAAATCGTAAAAATGGCGATTCGCAAAAATGACTTTTCGGAAAATTGACAATTCGTAAAAATGGCCATTCGCAAAAATGACAATTCGCAAAAATAGCTTTTCGCAAAAATGACAATTCGCAAAAGTGACATTTCGCAAAATTGGCTTTTCGCAAAAATGACTATTCGCAAAAGTGCAGTTCGGTAAAATGACATTTTGGAAAAATGACATTTGGGGAATAATCATGCGTCCCAGTTGAGTCCTAGACCACCAAACAACCACCGCGTGAAGAAACCTGGGTTTTAAGATCATCTGATAGAGCCAATTGACCATATTAGGCCTTAGTCCCCACGATGACCCTATCGCCCTTCTACATGCCCAAAAAGCAGTACAGAACCTTCTATACTGATATTCGAAATGTTCCTTCCAAATCAAATTTTTAGCCAGGATTACTCCCAGATACTCTCTTCAAACTCAGTACCTTATATTTTCTTTTTCTTCTTACTCCCAGATACTCTCTTCAAACTCAATACCTTATATTTTCTTGTGAAAACTACTATATTCGTTTTCTCTGGGTTTACAGAAAGTCCAGTCAGATTGCACCAATCCTTGACAATCTTAAGTGCACGTTCCGTAAGTTCTAAGAGGGTCTCAATTGAGTGCCCTCTTATAATTATAAGGAAATCATCCTCATAACTTTGCGTATAATATCCCTGGCTATTGAGGTTTCTAATTAACTCATCTGCCACTAAGCACCACAATAAAGGAGAGAGGACTCCTCCTTGTGGGCACCCTTTTGAGACAAGGCCTGTTACCTTAGCCTCACCATACTCCGCTTCAAGGACCCTTTCGCGAAGCATGCTGTCGATCCACTTAACTAGCGGCTTGGGCACACCTCGCATCCTAGCTGCCCTACAGATAGCTTTGCTAGAGGTGTTAGGGAAGGCACCTTCAATATCAAGAAAGGTACCAACCGCATAGCCACCACTGCTGATTTGTCCCTCTATTCTACCTACTGCTGAATGGAGGGCTGTTTCTACTGAGAAGCCTGCTCTATATGCATGCTGTCCCTGATGTAGGGGATAATCTCTAAGACATTCCTGCCTAATAAAATTATCCACCAGTTTCTCCATCGTCTTTAATATAAAAGAAGTTAAGCTGATTGGTCCCCCTAAAGCCTTAAATGGTTTGAAGTGCTTATTGACCAATCAATCCGTTCCGGAGTTACGACCCCGGCTGCTAGTTTCCAGTCTTCCCGATATCCTCGGTTCCTACCTGGTCCTATGCCATGGCTGTTCTCTGAACCTTCTCTAAAGTCCGGGAAGTTTACCTCCATCAGGTGCTTTATACACTCCCTTTTATCCTGGGTATACTGCCCATTAGGCAGCTTAATAGTAGTTAATTTTGCCATTGGGTCTCGAGCTAGTACTTTATGAAGTCTTGATGGTTCTGGTACCCTCTCGATTCCCTTGCAAATACTTCTCCAGCTGACACCCCTTGCCCTCTCTACTTCTTTCTTGTAAGAATCGCGAGCGGTATGATATTCATCCCATGCTCGCTGATGCCTACGTTTCTTGGCTTTATTAAAAAGCTTTCTTACTGTTTTCCTATGTTCCTCCAAACGGGGGGTCCACCATTTACTACCCCCATTGAAGCCTATTTTCTTAAATACACAGTTTCTTTCAAAGAAGCAGATAATAGAATCTCGCAGATATTCCGCTGCAAGATCCAACTCCTCCCGCGTTCCATACGAAGTGGGGAAGGAGGCCTTGAGGTCTTGAATATATGATGCCCAGTCAGTACTCCTAGGATTACGTCCCCACTCCTGTTCCCGATCCTAGTGATACTAATACATACCTCTATCAGGATATCATCGTAAGTCGTATTGGATACACCATTTTGAATTTTTCAAATCCAACATCAGATTCGTATTCGGCGACCTCGAAAATCTTCACGGAGTAGCAAGATTCAATCGATTTCATTCGTTTAAATATATTTTGTCCGCCATATTGAATCCGCCATATTGAATTTTTATAAACTAACATCATATTTATAATCAGCGACCCGGAAAACCCCGGAGTAACGAATTTTAAGTAAATGCGAGGAATTTTTAAAAATTTCGTCCGCCATATTGGATCCGTCATTTTGAATTTTGAAAATCTGATGTCAGATTCGTAATCAGCGACCCCAAAACCCCCGAGTAACAAGTTTCAAGGAAATCTGAACAAAGGGCTTAGGGGGTTAAGTGTGCAAAAACTGCCCCCGCATCTATTTTTCTCAAATTTGGCCCATATATTACTATCCATATGACTATAACTTTCTGCAATTTTGAACTCAAAATTCGCTTTTTTGGGGGAGTTATGGAGGGGGAAAGCAAAATCAAAAAACTTATTTTTCTCGAAAACTACTGAACCGATTTTAATGAAATTTTAAGAGGTTGTAGATATAGATAAGACGATTTTAGAAAAAAAAAATCAAAACTTTTTTTTCAAAAAAAATTTTTGAAAAAAATTTTTGAAATTTTCAAAATTTTTTTTAGGGTTATTTTTTGAAGTGACCACTTTCTCTTTTGTTGTAAAAAGTACCTTATAATGTCCCCTTTAACATATATTTTTTCCAAATTTTTTAAAAATATAGTTTTTGAGTAAAATGTCAAAAACCATGGTCATGCTATTTGCCACGTACGGTAATGCACATATATACATATGGGCAATTTCATGTGATAGGGTATAGCCAAATAAGTATGGAAAAAGTGACCCGAATATATTTTTCCCATTCATTCCTACCCACTTAAAAATAACTTTTTGAAATTTTTAACTCAAAATTTTGAGTTTTTTGGAACTTATGGAGAGGAAAAAAATCGAAAAACGCATTATTCTCAAAAACTACTGTATGCATTTTAATCAGCTTTGAATATGTTGAAAAGACAATTAAAGAGATTCCAAAAAAAAATTTCAAATTTTTTTTTCAAAAAATTTTTAAAATCTTTTTTTTTTGAAAATTTTAAAATGAAAATTTTTTGAAATTTTCAAAAAAAAAATTTTCTAGTTCTATTAAAGTGACATTTTTATGTATTTTCTCATTTCATTCTCTTATGTGATCTACTTAATAAACAAATTTTGTCCGACATGATTTTAGGGTGTGTCACGGTTGTGGGGATCAACCTTTAGGTTGAATGCGTAATGCGCATGTCTGTGGGGAGAATAAGCGAGAACCGCGAGAACAGAGAATATGAGTTTCAGATTGGTTTTGAGAGTAGAGTACTGAGCAGTAAATTGTCTCTTGTGATAAAATAAATTAGTCGAGTGTGATATTAAATAAATATTGAATATTTATTTCAACCAGAACCCTTCGGGATTACAACACATTTGGCTTGTGGAGAAGCCTCTACATAAATTATATAAATATATATCATAATCTCCATAGTGGTGACCCGCGACTTGAGTCTCGAAGTTCAAAAGGAAAAAAAATTTTTTTCGCCCTGGGTCTACGAAGCATCACCTGGAATAGTTGGGAAAATAACTTTCGTTCAACGGAGAAGAATTTCTCTATCTCCAGCCGTAAAAATTCGAAAGATATTATCTTTTTTCCAACTTTGATGAGTCACATAACCTCACTTCCGGCACATGTGCTCGACCATTAAGACGAAATCCACTCGTATCTCGACAATCGAGCATCTTTTTCACTATAAGGACATCTCTGCAAATATAAAAAAAATATTTCCACCAATTTCGACGAAATATTTTTTACCAAATTCAGAAATCTGGCCGATTTTGGACTTCAAAATTCAGCACATGTCATACTGCCTAATCAACTACGTACATCAGATCTTCTCAAGGGGTTTGCTGCTACCAGAAAGGACCAGTTCGAGGAAAAGATTCACCTTCCGCATCCTGTGGTGTTAAGCAGCCCTACATTTTTTTTGAGCGCAGATCTTCGTACGTGGGTGAACATTGTTCACCCACGCTAGGTCAGTATAACCATCTATTTCTTTGTTTAAAAAAAAAAAAATAAATAAAACCTTGAAATAAGGTTCAGCTTGTGATCCGTTTATTTTTTTCTATTTACTGGAAAATCATGAGCGTCTTTGGAGCGTGAGCGGAAATCTTCTGGCGTCTTCGCACAAAGAGTCATTTCCGGCTTCATTCATCAACAGCACAACCGACGAGTGCTAAAAATCCAATCGAGCCAACCTGCACCGTTTCTGCCAGACTCCTCGACTTCGTGCTTCCTGGAAATCGACCGTACTTACCGGAAGTTTTGGCAGTTCTCCCACCGTTGGACCACACCGCAGCAATCTTCGAAAAAACTTAGTAAAATAATTTTTTTTCTCTTCTTTAAAAAAATATTTTCTTTTTTTTCTCTTATTTTAAAGTAAAAAAATCTTTCTTTTTTTTTCGTTAACTTAAATAACAAATTTTTAGTTATATTTTAACAAATTAAATTTCTAAATTTTCATTTAATTGATTTTTATTACGTGAGAAAACAAAATGTTCTCCTTCTTTTTATCTTAAGAGGTGAAACTTTTAAACGTTATTTTTACAAGAGAATCACGAATTTTTCTTTCGTCGCTTTTCACCACATTAAAAACAATAAACATTTTAATTTTGGCACGTTAAATGCCCTATTGTCTTTAAACGCTTTCTTACGAGCTCGTGACATTAAGATTTTTTTCTTGTCTTATCCAATGATACGCGCGGTGTTGGGAGTTAATCTGCATATATTTTTTTTTACTTGCGTCAATAAATATAACATTTATATCGTGATCAAGTAAATTTTAGTTGCATATCTTTCTATGCAAAATAAAAAGAAGAGTTCTTTTTTTTCCTTCTTTATCTTCTTTCGTTTGATGTTTATCGTTAGGAGAGGCTGATCGTTTGGAATTTTTTTTTCTCTTCTCTCGTTTTTTGACATTTTGCGTCTGCGGTGTTGAGCTTCGGGTCATTATTGTCGTTATTAATTTTTTTTTTCTTCGTAACTTATATTGTCAACACTTTGTTGAATTTAAGAGTCGAAATGACTGAGTCCGACGGCGAAAACGAGAATGGCGAGATAAAGGTGGAGCCGGAAGAGGCGATTAGAGCCTTGCAGGACGAATTAACACGAGTTAACGCGAATCTTCTAATATTGCAGGATAATCCACGCATCGAACCCATTCGTGCACCTAGACTACCTCGTTTTATAACTCATGACCCCGCATTATGGTTTATACAAATTGAAGCTGCATTCAACAGCGCTCGCATCACTTCCGAGGGAACCAGAGCAGAATATCTTATTGCTGAACTTGACCCTGAAATCTTATTATGCGCTCGCGATATTATCATAACTACACCGCGTCCTGCGAACATTTTTTCAAAAATCAAGCAAAGAATTTTAGCTGCTTATTCAGTTTCTTCCAAGGCTCGTTTGCGTCAACTTTTGAAGGGAGATTTTCCTTCTGACGGAAAACCTTCATTAATCCTTACTCGTCTGAGAAGTTTGGGGGGCGCACAATGCAACGAGGAAGTGATAAAGTCAGTTTTCTTAGATCAGCTGCCGGTCAGTACCAAATCCATTTTAGCTGTTTCTCGAGTCACCGACCTGCAGGACTTAGCCGATTTGGCTGACAAGGTTTATGAGACTACGAATGCTTCATACACTTGTTCTACTTCTACATCAGAGAAACAAACACCTCAACCTAGATCGTCTTCTTCCTCTCGGAATTTTGAATCTCAACTCGAAAGTATAATGAAACGCGTAAATGCTATCGATGCAAAAATGTCGAAAAATAATAAAAAGCGATCCTATGATCGGTCTCGCTCGAAATCGCGGACGGAATCCGGATTCGGAAAACTCTAAATCCCAGGAATGTTGGTATCATAGAAAGTTCGCGGAAGCGGCAAAACATTGTAAAGAACCTTGCTCTTACCATGCAAAGGGGAAGAATTCGGGAAATTGCCGCGTCGAGACTATCGGATCAAACTCAGCTTCTAAACGTCTTCACATACGCGACCGTGTTTCCGGCTTGCTTTTTCTTATAGATACCGGTTCGGATGTTTCTCTGATACCGGCTGAAAAAAATTCAAAAGGTAAACCTTCCGAAGTGGTTTTATACGCCGCTAATAATTCGCGCATCTCTACATTCGGTGAAAAACGCATGACTCTCGATCTCGGAATTAAACGCGACTTAAGTTGGAATTTTTGTGTTGCATCAGTTCCGCACCCCATCATAGGTGCTGATCTTTTGGCTCATTTCAATCTCGCTGTTGATCTTCGTCAACGTTGTCTTGTCGATTCGCTCACTCGATTACAATCCAACATGATATTTCGAAACGTTAGTTCGCTCAGCGTAAAGTCAATCGACAGTTCGTCACCGTTTTCAAATATTTTAGCATCGTACCCGGAAATTACTGCAACGTCGCAATCACCTATCGCAACAACGCGTAACGTATTCCATCATATCATCACCAAGGGTCCTCCTTTGGCTGAACGCGCTCGTCGTTTGGCTCCACATCGACTTCAAGAAGCAAAAGAGCAATTTAGAATGTGGGTCGCACAGGGCGTTTGTCGGCCTTCCAGTGGTTCTTGGGCCGCTCCGATCCATTTAGCTCCAAAAAAGGGAGGGGGATTTCGCGTCTGTGGCGATTTTCGGCGTTTGAATTCCGTGACTGTTCCTGATCGCTATCCGGTTCCGCATATCCATGATTTCGCTTCTTGTCTCGCTAATAAAAAAGTTTTCTCAAAGATTGACCTTCACATGGCATACACACAGATTCCCGTTGCTCCCGAGGACATTCATAAGACTGCTGTAATAACACCCTTCGGCCTCTTCGAATTCTGTAGAATGATTTTCGGTCTAAGGAATGCCGGCCAGACCTTTCAACGTTATATATTCCAGGCTCTCGGAGATCTAGACTTTGTATTCGCCTATGTTGATGATGTTCTTATTGCTTCAGTTGACGTCACTGAGCATGAGAAGCATCTCAACATGGTGTTTCAAAGGCTGAGAGACTTTGGTCTTCGTATAAATGTTGACAAGTGTCAATTTGGTCGCCAAGAATTAGAATTTTTGGGCCATACCATCAACGCTGATGGAATCTTCCCAACCACAGAGAGAGTAAAGGCAGTCGTTTCATATCCTCGTCCTGAAACGGTTCATGAATTGCGTCGCTTTTTGGGGTTAATCAATTTCCATCGTCGTAGTATTCCACACGCTGCACAAATTCTTGCACCTTTGCATAAATATCTCGTTAGTTCGAAGAAAAATGATAAAACCAAAATTGATTGGAACTCAGAATCTTCATTAGCTTTTGATCAAATTAAAAATGCACTTGCGACGGCTACCATTTTGGTTCACCCTTCTTTCGACGGCGAATTGCGTTTGGTGACGGACGCATCTGATTCAGGGATCGGTGCTGCTCTTGAGCAGAGAGATATCGACGAGAAAACTTCCCCCGAGAATTGGAAACCGTTGGCATTTTTTTCCCGGAAGTTAACACCAGCACAACGCGCTTACAGTACCTATGACCGAGAGTTGACGGCGATATTCGAGTCCATTCGTTATTTTCGTAATTTTTTGGAGGGTCGTGAATTCTGCATCGTAACAGATCACAAGCCTCTGATTTATGCATTTAACCAAAAATCAGAAAAGTCATCACCGCGTCAACAACGTCAATTATCGTACATTTCTCAATTTTCGACAAATATCGAGCATTTATCCGGATCCGAAAATGTGGTCGCTGACGCCTTATCCCGTGTCGAATCAATCGCCTTGTCATCGGATATCGAATTGGGAGAAGTAGCATTGGCTCAGGGGAATGATGATGATCTAAAAAAAGCGCTGCAGACCAAGGATTGGTCTATTCGTTTAAAACCATTACCTTGGGGTCCCTCGAACATTATCGTGTATTGTGACGTTTCGGGTGATAATCTGAGACTTTTTGCTCCACTTACCATTCGTAAAAAAATCCTTCATGTCTATCATTCTCCAGCTCACCCGAGTGCTCGCGTCATGGATCGTATGATCCGTAAACATTTCGTTTGGCCCTCGATGCATAAAGAGATCGCGGAATATTGTAGGGTTTGTGGGGATTGTCAAAGGTCTAAGATTTCTCGTCATACCACCTTGCAACCAAAACACTTTGTCTCTCCTGAGGCAAGATTCAGGCATGTTCATATTGACTTAGTTGGTAGACTTCCAGATGATCAGGGTTTTGTTTATTGTCTCACCATCATAGACCGTTTTTCGAAGTGGCCTGAGGCCATTCCCTTGAGGAACATGGAAGCGGAAACAGTTTGCCAGGCTTTCGTTGATCAATGGATCTCCAGATATGGAGTTCCAGAAACCGTAACTACCGACCAAGCAGACAGTTTGAGTCTCGCCTTTTCGCTGCCCTCTTGAAAGTATCTGGTTCATATCGAATTCGAACAACCGCCTATCATCCCGCATCTAATGGGATGATAGAGCGGTGGCATCGCTCGCTTAAGGCCTCTATCATGTGTCATTCCGACCATAGGTGGACGCGAGTTTTATCGACCGTTCTTTTAGGTTTGCGATCAGCTGTGATGGAGTGCGGAGCTTCCGCCGCCGAGTATCTTTATGGCACAACTTTACGTTTACCGGGCGAATTTTTACTTTCCGACAACATAACTTGTGATTCCGAAGCTTTTTTGACGGATTTTAGACAATACATGCGCGAAGTAAGACCCGCACCCGTTGCTCATCATCACAGACGCGGAGTATTTATTTCGAAAAATCTAACCACATGTTCGCATGTATTTTTACGTGTTGATAGAGTGAGGAAGTCATTAGAACCTCCCTATTCCGGTCCGCACAGGATCGTTGGTCGCATTTCTGATCGCGTTTTTGAAATAGATCTTAACGGTACGAACAAAGCAGTATCTGTCGAAAGATTGAAGCCTGCATTCATGGTGTTGGGACCGAATGAGACGAATGATTCTCAAACTCCAACATCCATTTCGGCTCAAATAAATTTCCCGCGAAACAATGATCCTCTTAAGGAAATCGTGCCTCCACCGACTCCTGTGCGTGTGCCTGTTGAAAGCGAACAGCCTCTCGTTGATGAGCATCCTCGTGATCTTGATTCTGGAGTTCAGAATCACGATAATCTTTTTACAGTCGTAACTAATCACGAAAACTCGACAAATGCGAGTAGAACAAAAGTAATGCTTGACCACGATTATATTTTGACTACACCTAAAGTTAGTAACAAACCAAAAAAGTTTCAACCAAACATTTTAAAGAGAAGGAAAGTTACTTTTAATGATTAAAGTAGGAATTTTTTTTTTTTTTTAAGCAATCTACGTTTTTAGTATTATATAAAGTATTAAAAAAAAACGAAAAGATCAGTATTATAAAGAAATAAAAATATTTCATAAGTATCACCGAATTATAATAATATTAGCTAAACTAAAAGTATATATGTTATTTTTATCTACGACTTCTAAGAGATATTTATATATTTTTTAACACAGTTTTTGTATTCAAGATTTACTGCTCAGAAATCTGAATAATTTTTTTTACGTCCTCATTTTTAATATGTTTCAAAGTATAAGAAATGAAAAATTTATATGTATTTAGATAAATCGTCTTGAATTTTAATAATGTTAATAATTTTTTTATATATATCGTTGTCACTAGAAGGGGAGTATATGTGGGGATCAACCTTTAGGTTGAATGCGTAATGCGCATGTCTGTGGGGAGAATAAGCGAGAACCGCGAGAACAGAGAATATGAGTTTCAGATTGGTTTTGAGAGTAGAGTACTGAGCAGTAAATTGTCTCTTGTGATAAAATAAATTAGTCGAGTGTGATATTAAATAAATATTGAATATTTATTTCAACCAGAACCCTTCGGGATTACAACACATTTGGCTTGTGGAGAAGCCTCTACATAAATTATATAAATATATATCATAATCTCCATACGGTAAATAACTCAAAAACATACCCGGTACATTTTTATGTTGTATGTAAATGATTAATTTTAAAAAACCTGTCAAATATTTTTGCAACTTATTACTAGTGGGTTATTGAGGTTGCTAAATACAAATCTGAAGTTGATATAAAAAAATATGTTTAGACAAGCAAAAAAATTTGGAAAATTTTAAAATCAAATTTTAGGATTGTTTGAGTTTTTTTACCGTGTTACACTCTAAATATCTCAATATCGCCATTATTTTTTAAAAAGTAAGACTGTTAAAAAAGTTAAATAAAAAAGTGTGATTTACCGCTTCAACGATCCAAAAAGAAAAAAATTTTAAATGCCCAATCAAAATAAAATTTTTTGGATTTTTCTTTGGAAATAATTTTTTTTAACATCGATTACAGATTTGTATTCAGAAAACCCCTAAGTATTAATTTGTAATTAAATAAATAATTAATTAATTAACCATTTACATACAACATAAAAATGTACCGGGTATGTTTTTGAGTTATTTACCGTGACACACCCTAAAATCATGTCGGACAAAATTTGTTTATTAAGTAGATCACATAAGAGAATGAAATGAGAAAATACATAAAAATGTCACTTTAATAGAACTAGAAAATTTTTTTTTGAAAATTTCAAAAAATTTTCATTTTAAAATTTTCAAAAAAAAAAGATTTTAAAAATTTTTTGAAAAAAAAATTTGAAATTTTTTTTTGGAATCTCTTTAATTGTCTTTTCAACATATTCAAAGCTGATTAAAATGCATACAGTAGTTTTTGAGAATAATGCGTTTTTCGATTTTTTTCCTCTCCATAAGTTCCAAAAAACTCAAAATTTTGAGTTAAAAATTTCAAAAAGTTATTTTTAAGTGGGTAGGAATGAATGGGAAAAATATATTCGGGTCACT